AATATAAGAAAGCCTTCTAAAAATTTTTATTTTGCTAAGTGTAATACAAAAAGTATAAATCCAATAACTATCACTAATGAACTGACGAACCCATACATTTGCGTCTTTATTGCCCAAATACTTGTTGAATGCGAATGTTTTAAAACTAATTTATTGCTTTCTCGGTATTATTTCAATGTGACAAAGTTAATATGTCCTCTCTGTGATGGGTGCAATAAAACTGCACGATATCGCGTCTTGTGTAAACAAACCGTCCTTCAAAGTAACCCAGTCGAGGACCCTATTGTCAGGTCGTCCTCAGGGCGTCTGAGTCATAGCACGCAGTCGTCGTTAAGAGGGCATTGCTCACTTAGTTACTCCCCCCTGTTCCACCGGCTGCAATTCAACATACCTTTGAAACAATATCATATCTTGAAGCCTTATTGTTCAACACCCTACTTTTATCATCATTGTCTAGCTAATCAGTGTCCATTTAATTTTGTATTGTTTCCCGCTTATGGTTGTAAGTTTTTAGGTTTCGCAGTGTCATTTTAGAACACGTGTTGCATGGATTATGGAGATGATTTTGAATAGTAAGCGCAGTTAGTACCTATAAATAGAGAGAGATACTAGCAGGTCGGATGACATCTATAATAAGATCACGACAGACCAATGAAACGTACGACAAAGATTTCTCAAGATTCTACCGGTTGTTGACTTTTCCACGCATCGCATTTAACAAACGTTTTAATTTTGATGTGTATGAAATGGTTCTCTTTTTACAGTTTAATTAACAGAGTAGTGGCGTAGAAATCAACAGAAACAGACGTTATTACCAGAATTTTATAATTATCTATTCCTGTAAAAATTTATTCTTTCCGTTAACTGGCTCGTAAGAAAAACTTAAAGTTAAAAAAAAACACTAGGTTGTGTATCATACGTTTAAAATCGAAACAGCTTTCCACAAAGTTAGAAGAAAATTGTATGAGTCTGCTTATTGTATTGGTTGCATAAAGTCACCACGGCGATCACTCAAAATGGATATTTAGTATATCCTAAATTTAAAGTAATTGAGGTGTTTCGGTAGTTGGTCTATTGTTAATCATAATAAAGCGGTTAACTGAAACTATGTAGGTCGGTCGGGCCGCTCTATTTGTTACAGTGGCAAATTTGTTAGTCGACCTCGAGCGGATCGCTGCGTGTGCCATATCTTATCGGTTTTCGTTGCTACGGAAAATTTGACCATTTGTGAAAACCCCAAAATAACTGTTATTATATTTGTAATAAATAATATAATCATTATTATTGTGCAATATATGTGTTTTGTTGTGTGATTCAACCATATATGAAACTTAATATGAAATACAATGAAGTTAACTAAACCAAATGAATAAAAAACAAAACTTTAGTCATTTCTGAATAGTTAATATGTATAAAGGTATATGGGTCTGATTAATAAATTAGTGCAAATAACAATGATTATTTTTCCGACCCAAATATCGACCAATAGAATAGCACCATTCGACGTCACGTGGTACAACCTACATGGTATTATACTGATAATTTTTTGAAAATTTTCTCTGGTAGTTGCTTCAAGAAAAGTATTAAGTTGTTGTTTTATTCATTATGAAATTCTTATTTGTTAACTGTACATTTCGTCTCATGGTGCAATTCTATTGGCCGACATTTGGGTCGGAAAAATAATCCCCCGAATACCACACGAGCTTCAAAATTATCTGGCCATGGTAAAAATACCCGATAATTTTGAAGCTCTTGTGGTATTATAAGTGAATAAAAGTACGCTTACATTGTACGTTATAAGGAATGATGAAATTCACGATGATTCAGATGTGTTTAGGCGTTCTGTTTTCCTGCTCGTCCTCATTGCTTTGTAAAGACGTTTTGAGGAGGAGACTTAACTCCTGTCACTTTGGGTCACCTCTGTCAACATCTTTAGTTTCTGGGTCGCGCCAATTAATAAAATTAATGTAGCCTACATTCGGTAGTGACTTGTTTAAGTTTCCTGCCCTGAACTGAGACACACGTTGACTGTAACTCGGTTATTTAATTGTCTCGTTCGCGATTCGAGCGCGTGTTTAATGGGTGTGCCAGGAGAGACGAAATTGATATTTTTTGTTATAGTAAATGCAATTATTATTTGATATATGTTCAGTTATTAACTAAATATATATAAAATAAAATAAAAAGTTGTTTTATAGTACCTTAAATAAGTTAGTCTATTTGTAATATGAATCATTAATTGATCAAATTACATAACGTCCATTTAAATTTTTGGTGAGATAAAAGCTTTAATAATAGTTTTTTTTTAAATTAAAAATATAGACGGTTAATACCAATATATTATTTAAAAATAATATATTGGTATTAACCGTCTATTATATAGTCGAGTTTTCCTTTTGGCCCTATTGTGCAGGACAACACGTTGGCTCGATTGACCTCTGGCTGTGCCTCTGGCATGACGCGACTTGCGGTTTCCGCTCCAACGTTATCGCATTGTACTGATTCCTTTGAATAATTTTATAATGGCCATTTGTATTTTGTTTTCGTTATCAAATTTAATTGCGCCGTGAATAAAAATTAGCATCGGCTAATCGATCACTTAATATTGGGGTTAAATTAAATTTTAATATTCTTTGTAAACTTTTCTCCCCGAGACCGGTTTGCGAGTCCTACAACCGGTCGGCTATGCACATGTCGTCTTTATTAAAGGAGCGCAGGATATTGTTAGCCCCATGAGCTGTGCGTTCTGACCGCGCAGCTGCCAGCGGTGTACATACGAACAAAGCAAGCGCACGCAACCTGTGAACGGATGCAGTATGGTGATGAAACTGACACAGATTCTAACGCGCATTTGGTAATCGAACCCCAACTCGTGAAAGTTTCACAGGACGGCCACAGTTCATGTATTGTCCGAGTCCTACTTAACATGACACCAAAACCAAGGATGCTGAACATACTTTTTCTTTTTTCGACTGTAGTTTAAAACGCTCGTAGTTTATCGTTATTATTCGTACTATATTTGAAGATGGTCGTTGATTGGTCGGTTTGTAGTGTTGCTACATAATTTTCATGAGAATTTGCAGGTATCGCCACTCGGCCAGTAGGCCACTGCCTAGTATATTAATAATGACGAATGGAAAGGTCGCCTGTATCTTAGATGTTGAAGTCTCGTATGACCATTTATTTTAGAAGTCTATTTCGTAAATGCAAACTTTGCATTCGATTTTATAAAGACATAAGTAGTACAGGGTTATTCACCAATGTCCTGACCTTAGCTGATTTTGATCGTCCTGCTTCTTGTGCGGAAAAAGAATATTGCAAGAAATGTTTGCATTTACTAAGACCTCGTGTCGTGACGGTTGTCGCGGTTGTGGCCTACACCAGCCTTTCCGGTTTCTCCATTCTTTTCCCTACATTATAAGTAACATTGAATCTCTGTCTTACGACCTACCTGATATAAATAATTTCATAGCATTGATGTCGCGATTTAGTAGTTAGATAATAAAATTAAAAATCTATGACACAAGCATAAGACGTTATTTCCACACATTTACATTGTCAGTAAGTCGTCTCTATTCTTAGACAACACAGGCAACGCACAAGTTTTCAGAAGTAATAATTATTTAATCGTAATTTATAAGGTATAAATTTGTACTTGGTGTTTAAAATTAAAATCATCGTCAAAGAGTTATATTATTTTATTAGTTAGTATTTTAAATTTCGAATATTATTTTATTGCATTCAAAGCTCCTCACACAATACGCACAACGGACCGATTATGAGTTTAAGTGCGGAAATTGAGTCCACCAACCATCCTCTCACACAAAATCTAGGTAGAGACATGCTCATTCAATCTCTCAAGAAATGTTTCATGCCCATTCCAGGCTGGCGTGTAGTCCTATATATTTATATATGTTACAGTTAACACTAGTTTTTAGTTAAAACTCGTTTTCCCTAGTTAAAAATAGTTTTTACTAAATGCCTTTGTCAAAACTAGAAATAACAAGTGAAAACTAGAATTTACCACTGATATAATTCATTTTCTGATAAAACTAGTTGTCACTCCGAGCTTTAGTTACAACTAGCACTAGAGAAACTAATTTGAATTTTGGGATTGAAAACAAGATAAAGTTTTAAAAATATTTATTAAAAAGATCTAGGGTATAGAAACATAGTACCGTACCTAGTAAAAAAAACTTACACTAAAGGAACATTTTAGGAAACATCAGCATAAAGTAGTTGCCAAGGTGACAAAATTAATTAAAAGTAAATAAAATAATCAAACAAATCAACAGAATACAACCATAAAATTTAAAAAAGGAACATTTAACAAAATGAACAGGCCAGGGATTTATGCGCTGCGTATGTAAGAAAGGATGTATGTCAAAAAGGTTTCTCTGCAAGAAAAATGGCTACCTTTGTATTTCAAAATGCCACGATAGTTTGTCTTGCAATAACAAGTAGATCGTCATCTTTTTTTAATTTTAAGGTTGTTTGATTATTTTTTTATTGTATGTTTACCAATATCCCTTAAAAATATTATTATAATGTTCCTTTTTTAAATTTTATGGTTGTATTCTGTTGATTTGTTTGATTATTTTATTTACTTTTAATTAATGTTGTCACCTTGACAACTACTTTATGCTGATGTTCCCTAAAATGTTCCTTTAGTGTAAGTTTTTTTTACTAGGTACGGTACTATGTTTTCTATACCCTAGATCTTTTTAATAAATATTTTTAAAACTTTATCTTGTTTTCAATCCCAAAATTCAAATTAGTTTCTCTAGTGCTAGTTGTAACAAAAGCTCGGAGTGACAACTAGTTTTATCAGAAAATGAATTATATCAGTGGTAAATTCTAGTTTTCACTTGTTATTTCTAGTTTTGACAAAGGCACTTAGTAAAAACTATTTTTAACTAGGGAAAACGAGTTTTAACTAAAAACTAGTGTTAACTGTAACATATATATGTTAATCTTTAAAAAAAAAGGCTAATACGTGTATGCTTTGTTACAGGCTCGCGTCGGGCAGCGATTGCGGCGGTGGTGGGTCGGGCGGGGGCGCGCCCGCTCCACAGTCGGCGCGCGTGTCCTCGAACGGCGCCGGTGGCATGGCGGTGAGCCGCGTGCCCAGCCCGTTGCACGACGGGAACACGCCCGTCGCTGAAAACTGGTGCTTTACACAGGTAAGGTTATCACGGTCCAGCGTGTGTGGTATAGCAACTGTATACCTCCTGTAAATGTAAGAAATATGTAAACATTTATATACTTATCAGTTTTTACTAGAGAATAAACAATAAATTCCCTCGTTTATAAAAAAATATCGATATTCATTAAGACACAAAAACTTTCTTCGGCAGCCCTATCTTCTCCCTTCACTCTGCATGTATTCAACTAACATACGTTTTGTATCTTCAAACGGTATTTGTGCTAGAAGTTGAGGCCCAACTTGTCGATGCAATCTAAATCTCAAAGTTAGTTATAGTTTATAGTGTATCATTATAGTTCAATTAGTGTTCTAACATCTAAAGTTATACATATATATTATGGGTAGTCATTTCATTGATACCTAAATTTCTGACACTTATATACCTATTTATTTATTAGTTTGAGACTTATCTTTCAACTATAATGGATTCAAATTATAAAGGTATATATTTATTTTTAAAGTAACACAATAAGGATTAACTTACTATCTATTTTTAGGTTGTATCTCTATATTTCATTATATAGCTTAACGTATTACCATACATTTAAAGAATGTGTTTAACAATTGAGGTAACTGCTCCATATACAAGACCCGGAAACACGTTATTTAAAGTTCTATGTTCGGTTACGTAAAGTTTTTCGACCCCACAAAGCGGGCTCCACATATGGGTAACCTCTAAAATTACATACGAGGTATAGGAAATATAAAACATAACATTCGAGTAACTTCAGATTATATATATAAGGAATATATTTTACCCATACAAATTACCTAATGTAAATATCTACGGATTTAATCAAACATTATTGATATTCAATATAATAAAATCGGAAAATACTTGAAAAGTTGCCGAATGACTAGAAAGATAATTTTTCTCTTATCGGCGATCTGAGCTAATCGTCTTATCGTGAAAAGCAACGTTTCCTGAAAATAGCTACAAGTATATGTCGAATCGCACGTGTCAGATACTTCAATCAATACACCATTTCCTTTAAACCGACAAATGAGGTTCTCAATGAAAATTAATTAAAAATCTTTTTATTATAACTCGAATGCGCGTGAATTTCCGAAATCTTGGTTTTAAAGGGTATTTTCCCAGGATCGGATCATCTGTAAATCCAAAAAATATTGATAGATCATTACATTTTAGGAACACAAATCGAGTTGGCTACATATATAGATAGCTACCGATTTGTTAAATCAGCTAAAGTCACATTTTTCTATTTAAAATCGTAGCTTATTTCATAGTATTCTGTTTCTTATTGTGACTAAATATATTATAGTGCTTGAGAGCGTTTCTCTAATTCAGGGCACATTTCATTTGAAGATTTGTTTAAGTAAACGTAGATAAGCAATAACTGTTAAACCAATTCACGTTTATTTTTTGTTCTCATAACACGGCTTTGTGTTTAAATTATTGTAGTGTTGTCTTTTATTTCCTGTCGGATATCGGTAGCAATACGTAGAAATTGGAACAACCGTTGCGAAGCTTCGACCTGCTATTGCCTTTTTGGTACTTTTTGCCAAATTCTATTTGGTTCGCGGGTAACTGTATATGAGAATGGATCTTATTAAGGTTTAATCATTTCAAAAGATAACGGTGTTAATCTGTATTGTTAATATAATGAAAAACGTGGCTACTTCCTTGTATGTTTGTAGAATAATAACACGTTCCGACGTTGGTGTTGACGCGTGACTCTTCTTGCATACCACGCGTTTTTACACATGACAGATTATTTACTTGAGTATTTTGCCCTTGATTAATTGATATACAGTGATTAAATATGAGTCAATACGTGTTTGCATTATCTTTTATTTCATTAATTCTAACCGTCGCGGAAATATGTAGTTTCATTATAATTTCATATATGATTTAAAAAGCTGTGCATTATTTAATTAGCACATTTTCAATATACCGCGGAACCCTAAATCGGACTTAGGTTTTGCACTGAAGAAGCATTGAGTCAAGTGGCGGGATGATGCGGGCGGCCTTGGCATGGGTCGGTGACCGGGCGAAGACCTCACCAGCACCGCAAGCCCGCAAGCTGGCAAGCAACGGTCGGGGCCAATGACCAGGGACCTGTCGCTCACCTAGTCCTGACCTTACAATCATATCACTAATTACCACAAAAATATCCCTAAAACACCCCAAAACATTGAGGCGTAAAACACATAACTATAATTGCGTCTATTGCTAAAATGGACGACTGATGTTGACTGAGTAATTTAAGAACAATATATTATTTGTTGCTAGCCTAAAAATTTAATAATTATGAGATAGACCTCGAACATTCATTTAATACATTAAATTATCCCTACAGTATTGTGTTAAAAAGTCAATCAAATTTATAAGTTATTTTTTGGGTAACTGTACTTGCCAAGGCAATAATAACTGGATTTTGATTTTTAATAGCCTTCATACCTCACGTTTATAATTTGTTTGTTCTCTATATTTGACGCGAAATGTTGTTAAATATATAACCGTTTTCCCAAAGTACATCATTAAAATTGCTATTTTTTAATAGAAAATTATGGTAGAATGAACATTGAACACATGTGTCTTTGAACTGAAGTATTTCAAATTCTATTTGGTGTCAGTTGACGATTTATCGAGCAAATAAAAACGCCTTTTTAGTCTAAAGAAGACCCGACAATACTTTGCATTGTAAATATGGTGTCCATAATTTACCTCGTCTGATCGGACTTTGTATTAATGTAAAAACAAACTCTGACCTTGAACCTTGGCTGAGACGATAAAATTTTATTTGTAATAAATAAGCCGTAAAGCGTAGTCACCGCTCATTTCACAGTTTATTGAAGGTGATTATAGAGGGCACCTCAATGAAACCATATCAGTACAAAGCGTATTATGAAGTTAATTATAACTAGAGAAGTGGACAGTGTAACACCTTGCTTAGAACCTATTTGGACATATGTTAGAAACGTACAAATCTAATTTACATAAGCTTTATCATAAAAAAGTCTCCAAAAATTACAGCGCGTATTCCGACATAGTCATCCTCCATCTAGTACCATTTTTTACTATCAGAAGCGAACCTAGAATTATTATAAACTCAACTATGTTATTATAAATTCAAAACTGGCTTTGTCTATCGTTCAATCAAGCTGTTGCACTTTAACTGAACTGATATCGATGAATATTGGTATAGGTAAAAGTCATGTAACGATGCTATCTACCCAGGCTCGTTTTGACGAATCGTAACTCGTTAAACGATATAATTCCAGATAAACAGTCTGCCCGCACTTTACTAGAACCGTAGCACAGACTAAAATTATATTTCTCTTGTTCCAGGTGAAGGTGGTGAAGTTCAGTTATATGTGGACTATAAACAATTTTAGTTTTTGTAGAGAAGAAATGGGTGAAGTTTTAAAATCATCGACATTTTCGGCTGGTGCTAGTGATAAATTAAAGTGGTGTCTACGTGTTAACCCAAAAGGACTCGATGAAGAGAGCAAAGACTATTTATCGTTATATTTATTGTTAGTGTCGTGTAATAAATCAGAAGTGCGCGCAAAGTTCAAGTTTTCGATATTGAACGCGAAACGGGAAGAGACAAAGGCGATGGAGTCACAGCGGGCGTATAGATTCGTTCAAGGCAAGGACTGGGGATTCAAAAAGTTTATCAGAAGGTATATATCTTTTTTCTCATCCAATAATCCTTGGTTTTTTCTGTTTATCACCTTAATGTATTGTGAAAGATTAATTAATGTGGATACTAAGATGTAAAGTATAATCTCAAACCAACATTCATTAAACTTTTTAACAGTTTACACGAGAAAAGAGTTCAATTATTAACCTATTAGTTATCCTAACAACCGCAACGTTTGCGTCGTATTTATTGCGCAATGCGTTCTGCGCATTCACTGATAAAATATTATTACGTGCAAAATGCTAATCTGCTATTAATTTGCGATAATTAACCGTTTTACAGTCTCGAATTAACCCCCTTGTGTTTAACTACTTTCATACTTTCTCTACATACATATCCGCAATACTTTAATGGACCATTAACCAATGTTTTCCCTACAAATGAATGTCTTGTTAATTTTACTCAAATTATTATAAGATACAAAGAAGAATGAAGTCTTATATAAAAACTATTTAAGGTTTTTATGTGTAAGGTGATATCTGGTCAGAATCGGTATTGTTTCGCTTGGGAACCACATTATGAATGTACTTCATCAGGAAAATATTGGTAGTATAAATGAGGATATATGTATATAATAAATGGCTCATTAATAATAGGAATATAAGTTTCTCAACCATGTATTTTATTGATTAAAATACGTACGTACTTTTTTGTAGACCAATACGATACAAGATTGTTTATAAACCTATTCATAAAACTTGGCAATAAATAATATAATATTGCTTTAAACTTTTGTTACAATGTTTTACAAACTAGACCGGTGTTTTATCAACAAATTTTGGAAGAGCGCCGACCTTATAGAGTGTACACTTATAATGCTTTGATCTCCGTTAAAACTTCATAGGGGGAAAGCGGTAGCTAGGTAGACATCCCGGTGAAAGGATGATATACAAACTTCCAATAATCTTCTAGTTACTCATATCTATGAGATGAGGGGATCGGGGGGGCTTTTGCCCCCAAACGTGTATTTACCGCAGCCCATGGATATCCTTATTAGTGGGTGCGCTTTTTTTAAATACTTAGAAGCCGTATCTTCTCGGAAAGACATCCACTGGCAGCCAATTCCACAGCTGCTAGTTGGCAAAAAGAAATAAATAATTAAAAGCAAATCTTAACTTTCCAGAGATTTCCTCCTGGACGAAGCAAATGGTCTCCTGCCAGAAGATAAACTGACTATATTTTGTGAAGTGTCAGTGGTAGCGGATAGTATCAATATTAGTGGGCAGAGTAATGTTGTACAATTCAAAGTGCCAGAATGCCGGTTATCGGACGACCTAGGAGCTTTGTTTGATAGTGAAAGATTCTCTGACGTGACGTTAGCGGTCGGCGGACGAGAGTTTCAAGCGCATAAAGCAATATTAGCAGGTAATTCACTTTCTCATGATTCTTTTTGATTATATTACCCGGTGAAGGAAGTTTTGGTTGACCATTACTTGCCTATTCATAAAAGCTAAATCTGTCTTATTGTCTATAATGTCGTGATCTCTTTTTAACACAGCGTTAAAGGATTTGAAAGAGAAGAATGACTAGTTAAAACAGTTAGTTTTTAAATGAGTGTTGGTGTCAGAAGAGAAGCGTGATAAGTGCATTATCCTGGTCATGTTTTAACACTTTAATCTTTGTGATTTTAAATTTATAACAGTATCACAAAGGTCATTATTGCATTACATTAAAAAGAGGAAATTCTATTGCACCAAATGTAAATACGTCATCACATTTAACGGCGTCAATGAATAGCAGTCATATGATATCATGGTTTCTCTGACGTCAAACATCAAATTGTAACACTAGTAGTATAGCAAGTTTAGCCAACGTTACAAAAATTTAAGACAAATATGTTTTTTACATTGTGCATGCCTCTTCCTATCCTGACTGACTATTGCTTCGTCTTATAAAATGTTATGGGTGCTTTGAATCTGTGCTTTTTCAAGATTAGAGAGTTTGTGAGTAGCTCTGCCAGCCTTATGCCCGCCTTCCACTGCGAGCGGAACGGACCAATGTATGAAAATCATCGTTACGCGTATAGCTGAGTCCGTAATGGGTCCGTTCCGCTCGCAGTGGAAGGCGGCCATTACCATTCTCAATGGCCATGTTTTTTCAGCAAAAAAATAATAATTTATTTTCTAAATGCTTTAGAGATACAATTTGTATAAAAATATAGCTCAAGTGAAAAGTCTACGAGCAAAACAATAATACATTGCGACGGGCGTGACTAAAGCGTATCGTACTTCTATGGAAATAGTCACCGGACCAAGCTGGAGGTAACGTGGGTTGGTCCTGTCGCAAAGTATTTGGCTCTTGAATCCTTGGTAGAGTTTTCTAACGCTAATATATTGTGCTTCTCTTTTTTAAAATCTCTTGGCCTTATAAAACGTGGATTTAATATAGTATGTTTACATACTATATTAAGTCCACGTTTTATAAGCTAAAGTATCTGTTTGTAGTAATCGCATTTTTCATTATGATATCCTGTTATTTCCAGCGAGAAGTCCCGTGTTCGCAGCGATGTTTGAACACGAAATGGAGGAGCGGAAACGCAACAGAGTGGACATCACGGACGTTGATCACGAGGTGTTACGTGAAATGTTACGGTTTATTTACACGGATCGAGCGCCCAATCTAGACAAAATGGCCGACGACCTCCTCGCAGCAGCTGACAAGGTAAAATCAACTTCCCTCTTAAACATTTAAATAGATTCCAAATGAAGTCGGAACCGAACCCGAGACCTTCAAGTTAAATATTAACTAAACAAGGTTTTGTTATCTGAGTTATTAGGGATTACTCCTTCGTATTTAATGAATGAATGAAATTAGTTTATAATGCGTTATAATTATTTTATAAATATATAACGTAAAATATATTTACAAACCAATATGTAATGACAGGTAATATAAGATGTAGGTATTGGTAGCAATATACACACATTTTGTATTCGTTATCTCTGTCCTTGACTTTGAAATGTATAAACGAATTATCACGATATAAAATTAAGTCATAGCGCGTGATTTATGATGAAATTTATGAAAAGTCAACGAAGTAAAGTTATAGGTACTACAACTATTATATTATGGTCCATTGTCATTATTATTGCCACCCAGGACCTTATCAGTATTCGTTTGACGGCTCTTAAAAATAGAAACTAAAGGCATTAGGCCTTTAGTTTTTTATCATCTTTGTAAAAACATCATCATAATCGATTCAGTATTATAGTCGTTAAAGTGTAATTAACTGTTTGCTGTTGCCAACATATATTATAGCTTAGATTATAGATTTTGATCTTTGATACATTTTATTACAAACTAGCTAACCGGACAGACGTTGTCCTGTACACATTTCAACACACGAAAAAATGTCATCAAAATCGATCCAGCCGTTTAGGAATAACTCCTCCTACCTATTAACGCACAGATAATTTATATATACAATGTACTTAATTAATATTTCCTATTCCAGTACGCGTTAGACCGGTTAAAAGTGATGTGCGAGGAAGCGTTGTGCCTCAGCCTATCAGTGGAGACGGCAGCGGACACACTCATACTCGCCGACCTTCATTCCGCTGACCAGCTCAAGGCGCAGACCATAGACTTCATCAACACGTCAGTCCGATTTATTACTTATCTATACGTCCTTTTTAGTAAACTGGAAAAATAATTTTTTTTCAAGTTCATTATTTTTGATTGAGCAGTAAAAATATAAATATGTAACATAGCAATTCTTGAAAGTGACCCTCTGGCAATGTGTGTGACTCACTTAACATCAGATGAGTCTCCTACTGGTTTGCCCCCTGTTACATATACATATATGTATATAATTTTTTTTTAAAGGTTGAAATAATTATAAGGTCATCTTTCTTGGCGTTATTATGGTCGATTACCATGATTTACTAACGTACTCAGGGTACATTATCTCTAATTACTAATTATCTAAAGAATTTCTCAATAAAGCATTAAAATACTATTCTTAATTTCCGTTGTAATTGTGATGAGTTTGCGGTATACTTATGACTTAGTTTAACAATATAAATAAATCACCTATCAGTTATAGCCTTAATCAGTCATAGTAATCACTAATGGGTTCCAACCATGATCCCTTCCTTGTTGGTGATAAGTGAAATAATACGAAGGCCATGAAATAACACTTGTGTGATAAGATAGTGTTTTATTACAAACAGGAAGGATTCGACAAATATTTGACGGATCGTGACTTTATTTACAAGGTTAGGTAGATTATTTAATGTTCAGTCTATGCTAAAATATGTATTTGTTATTTATTACTTAAACCATCAATTTTATTATCCAAGCAATAATATAATTGTGTAAAGCCGATATCAAACTGAGAGAATGATATTGGCTTTACGCAATTATATGAAGACAATGTGTTATAAAACTCATGGTCTTTAAACTAAATCATTTTTCTCAATTGAAAAGGCAAATAAAGGCTTTATTAGAAAATTATCGTGGGTGGGTGTAATTCTATTTCTTGTATATGTTCTATTCTGTAATTATCAAAATTCTATTCTAGCTAAGTTATTAATTAAACTAGAGCCTCAGACTCTGATAGGAAAATGAGTCAACCCCCAAACCGTACTAATTTTAGTGTTACTTTCTGGATTTCAGGAGTCACGCAACAGATGTCATGGACACCACTGGATGGAAGAACATGATATCCTCTCACCCTCACCTCATAGCCGAAGCCTTCCGCGCCTTGGCGACTCAGCAGCAGCAGATTCCTCCCATTGGCCCTCCAAGGAAACGGGTGAAGCAGGCCTAGTGCAAAGCGAACACCCGCCTCTATACCAAAGATACCGACGGCGCTATTTTCGAATTCTACGCCGGATAGACAGGCACCAGCCGAGGTATAAGATAGACCTGTTTCTGGGTACATTTTGGCAAACGTCATCATTGAAATGGAAATCCTGTGAAATATAGCTAAAACATGACTTTTTAACTTTCTATAAAATATATGTCATGTTTTCATTCAAGTCAATCCAGCTGTTGCCTCTAATGTAGGGTAGTAGAGATCAGCAGTAACTATTTTCAGTTGCTATTATAGGAAATTTTTAATAATTATTATATGTAATATTTAAATTGAATAATATATATACTATTTCTTATCGTAATAAACCGGTAATAAATGGTAATAAATCGAAAAAGAAAACCAATTATTTACACCTCACACCCTTAAAACTTTTTAAAAAAATCAATAAAATTGTACGCCTCCCATTAACTAGCATATTTTATATGATAATTTTAACTGGCAACATTATATGATAATTTTCTCAAATATCTTTTACATTTTTTTAATAATTTTAATTTACCAAATATCAAGGTTGTTTTAATTTTTAACATTTGACCTCTCAACGCTGAATTCGGTTTATCAGTGAAAAAATATTAAATTTAAAAGGTCTCTTAAAGTTGAAAGGCATTTATCGGAAGGTTTAGTTTATAATACGATTTTTATCAATATAATATTTATTTGTGATTGTTAATATCTACGCAATTATTATCAACGACGGTTTGAAAGCTATATTTTACAGGACATCGTCGACTAAATATTCTAAGCTCAAAAGAGATAATAATTATATCTTTTGATAGTAAAATAAAAAAAATTAATTATATCTTAGTGTATTTAGACGGCGATATGTATGTATGTGCCAATAAGGGTATGGAATCCTATGAAAAGTGTCCGTTAGTCAGTACCGGCGCCGGTACCCTTAAACTCCCAATAGTATTTGCGATTGTTGAGTGTTTGTATCGCATCTGCGCTACGGACACGTCGCCATCCCTATTGCTATTGCAAGTTACAGAGTACCAGCGCTGCTGTCGTGGACAAATAGGCCGGTGTGTTGTGAATCTTTGGATTCGTTCTCTGATTGATCTCAAGACGTTCGCTCCATGTACGTCGAGGCCCGCGCGCCATATTCATGAATTACGTATAATGGACGCTGGACGCTTTTTGCGCGTTGTAGATTTTCGAAGTAGGCATTTTACTATTTTACGTATTCTTTGTTTTTGTAAATTATTGCTTGTATATTTAAACAGTCTATGTCATTAAAATGATTTAACTATAAATATTTGGCTTGTATAGAGAACCACGGAAATTGTATTTGATAGAAGCGTTAAAAGTAGATTATACTTGAAGTAGGTGAACGCCGAACGCGCGACGGTTTTATGCAAAGCGGTGAGGGTAGTTGTAAAAAGCCGTCACTCGTCGACGTTTTAGGTGATTCGCGTGATTGTAATAAGTCTATGAAATCGTTGGTGTTGTATATAGATGATCTACGATCCCACCATTTAATACTATATCTAAGTACTAAATTTTAAGTGAATGATGGACGACACCGTTACGTGTATGAATTTGTTGGTGTTATTCCAATGACATATTGTGATTTTCATTTGTAAGGTTATAAATAGTATTTTAATTACAAGCTTTGTTTGTTTGAATTTGTCTTAGTATAATTTTTCGTCGGTTTGTTCGTTTGTTTGTATATCTTCCGAGTCATATTTATAGAACGCACTTCATCTATGCTCACTTTCGCTCATCAATGAAAGAACTATTTTTTAAAAATTTATCTTATTCCTATTTGTATTAAGTAAACTGTTGCCTATCGATGGAAATGTTCACATTCGTTTGTAAATGAAGGGAGGTACCAATTATAAATAATAGGTTTACAAGCCAATGTGTAAGTACTGTGGCCAATAAAGTTTATAATACCATTTTATACCCACTACCCATAATAGCTGGCAGCTGACGTGTAATATGATAGTTACAATACAATTGTCAGAAGTAATAACTGTGATTTTCGAAATTGTCAATAAGATGAAATAAATGAAATGATGTAATATTATATTGGCTTTTTATTTTAGTTGATGCCTTGAAAGAATAGCCATACCCAAAGATGGCTTTATCATATTAAACATAATTAGTAGAACATTATTACACACAAGTCAAAGTTTAATTGTTTATTTATTAGACCGTATATACAATTGTGCGTTTAAGATGTTACATGTAAAACTTTAACTTATAATACTAGTAGTATCTTGTGATCGATATAAATAATTTTTATGTAGAATCAATAAATACCCACTAAAAAAACTACTTTGTCACAATATCAGAAATTTGTGATACAGCAAGAATCTAGGCCCCAAGAGGGTAATGAACAAATCAAAATTTATTTAATCATATTGATAACTGTGTTCACTTATAAACGTCACTATTTTAATAAAGATCTAAATAGAACTAACGTGACATTGGCCGTTTTACAAATATGGGAGTAAGTTGTAACTTTAATCTACGTTTTGTAATAGGACTGAATAAGTTCACCATTCAGACACAAAAATGGGTTTTCACTGCCATGATCATGGTTAATACCTTAACTTTATAATAATTAATCTACTATAAGAAATAATCGTCGTTGTACAACTCGTTGCTAGATACGAACTCCTCTTGCTTGAAGGTTTTAGTTTTCACCCAGTTAATAAACATGCATGAATATTATTGGCTAATGGTTATGAATTTAAGAAAAACAAACATAAACGTTCTTTGTTATTTGAGCGCAATGACATATCTGCCTGGAGACTTTACTATTTAAGATCTATATCGTTGAAACGTGCAGAAAGAAAGCCTATAATTTATTTAGATGAAACTTATGTCCATAAAAACTACAAGCCCAAAAAATCGTGGCAAGGTCCCTCAATTAGTGGTGCTATTGAAAATATTTCATCTGGGAAAAAGTACATAATTGTACAAGCAGGGTCAGAGAAAGGCCCTGTGCCGAACTCATTATTAGTATTTAGCACTAAATCAAAAATGGCCGATTATCACCATGATATGAATGCTGCCAACTTCAATAAGTGGTTAGAATAAAAGCTCCTACCCAATTTAAATGAGCCAAGTGTAATTTTTATGGATAAAGCCAGTAACCATTCCGTTTTAGTAAATAAAGCCCCTACGATACAGAATCGCAAACATGAGATAAGAGAACGGCTTACTTTGAATAATATTCAATTTGAAGAGTACCATACGAAAGCAGAACTGCTATGTCTAGTAAAACGGTATAAACTAGAGTCAATATATGAAGCCGATAAAATTTTAAAGCACAATGGTCATGAGGTATTGAGACTACCTCCATACCATTGTGATCTAAATGCCATTGATCTGGTATGGAATCTGGCAAAACGCAGGGTAGCAAATAAAAATATTAAATTGACTACAGAGCAGTTAGAACAAGTGATTAAAGAGTCATTTAAAAATGTAATAGCAGAAGAGTGGAAGAAAATGACTGATCATGTTGTACATGTGGAAATAAATATAAAGAAAGGGCAGGACTACAGAGGAACATTTAGAAAGTTTCATAATCAATGTGAGAGACTGTGATAACAGCAATGACTCTGATGAATCTATGCATATTGATTTTTTGGGTTCTGATTTTGATTATTCCGAATAAAGTTGTGTTTTATAATAAATATAGTTTTAGTTTTCCATGCAATACTAGTCATTTTAAGTATCAATAGTAAAAGACTAAAATCGTATAATATTTAATTTCATAGAAATACAGTTACTATCAATGTAAAAAATAATAAAATAAAATCAAGTATCAAGTAAGTTTACTCCACAAAATATATCAAACTTTTAGGGATACCATACTAATTTTTTTGACTTTGCCGCGCTTTTTCGTTATCTTATTTCATTAGCCAGACTCTAGCCACTTTTGATATATTAGGGTACATATTCTGATTTGTATCTCACACACACGTCATAATCTTTTCTTGAGTGCTGGCAATTATTTCAAACTTCTTACTGAAAAAATGGATTGACGTTCTAGAATATAGGTTAAGACTTTAGATGTACATTTTATCGGCACCTTAATTCGCCTGATTTATGATAGAATAAAGTTTAAAAAACCGATGGGTTGCACTCCGGTAGTGCCGGCAGAAGTGAAAACTTAATATTAACGTTGTGCTTTTTTGATATTTTGGAATGGTTAGGGAATAAATTGCACGTATTGCTTTAATTATCACTATAAAAGAACTATCACTTATGTGGTAGAATACAATATTTATTTATTGCGCTATCGTACCCAAACATGACAATTTATATTACATTAAATACGCCACGCCAGCTGTCTACTCTCCATCCGTCTTACGAATTTTCAAAAAGAATTCAAAAAGAAGTGTACAACGCCGCTAAAGAAGTTTTCACTTCAAAAAATTACTTTGCACATCTAGTTCTAACCAAGTTATTAATTGTAGAGAAATATATTACTCGTTGAATAGAAAAAAATACCAATAATTAGCTAACCATAACGATTCATTCGAAACTTTACTTTATGCTAGAAGTCAAATATGTATAGGTAATAAATTTGTTTGTTAAGTTAATTTTTATATATAAAGAATTTACAATAAATTATGGTTATTTTACGGTTTAAGACTTAGGTAATAGCTATAGCATTTAATATTATTAGGAGTAGGTAACATTGGGATTTCGTCTTTTAGCGCCATAATTTACGTCGTCTGTAGGCAATACAGCCGAATGCCGATTTGTGGGTCGTCACTCGACAATCGACATTCGACATTATTCGTCAAGTTAGAATTGTAGGCGCTAACGTGTTTTCGTATGATAAACTTCAAACTATCTAATCGTATTATATTTCTTTGTTATTAAACAATTATTTAAAAGTCCATTTATAACAAGCGGTGCAATGCATTTAGGAAATAACTATGACAGCGCAAGTGATGGTAAGTAAATATTTTGGTGTAAATATATTTTTCTATTTCTTATGTAGTTACTAGTTACCAAATACCACTAGAGGTATACTTTTTCTTTGATGAATAAATAAATGATAATTGATGTAAAAATATCATAAATTATTGAAATAGTGTATGGCTTGATTAGTTGTAAACTAATATCACAAGCAAGATTTTTTAAAATCTATTTTCTAAATAATGGCAATGTAGATTCACCAGCAACACCAAGAAGGACTTTCAGAGTCAGAAATAAACCTAAAAAATACCAGGATTTTTTCGAGACTACACCCACTAAACACGGAATTTCTACAAGATACGGAAATATTACTTCTGAAGATAGTACTGATGATGATGAATTGAATATTAAAACACTTACTCTAAAACCTAAAGGTATTTTTTTTTAAATGAGCAACTTATTTGAATAATAACCTAAGAATGTCTAGACTAATATACCTTTACTATATTTTTCAAATTTTAGCCCTCTTTGGTTCTGATGATGTTGAAGGACAAGATATGTTTAAATTTAAAAGTCGTCATACAAAGCTAGATCTTCAAAATAAGGTCAAGGAAGCCATTGGTTCCCCCATACTAAATACCCCAAAGACACCAAAAAGAAATCAGCATTTAGTTAATAAAGATGAAGCAACACCAAAACAAGTTGTCAACTTGTTAAAGAAAAGTAAGTAATAAAGTTTCCTATTTTATTGAATGTCTAAATAATATGGTATAAATTTACCATAAATAAGTTATCTATTTCATTATGCTCTTCCAAGTAGCTAGAAACATATTATACACACTACTTTCTGCTGCTGTTCAGTAATATCTGAAGTAGGTGTAAAACAATCGTATTTACTGAGACCTTTATTACAAGTAAAATAGAGGTAGGTAAACTTAATTTTTTAATCTTCGGTTATTTACAGGAATTATAAAAAAATTGGAGAGTGATAGTGAAGAAAGTGATTTCTCTGCAAGCAGTAGTGATTTTGTACCAGATAAAAGTGAAAATGAGGTGATTATTAGAAGTTACTAAGATACTATGTCTGATAGTTAATAGGAATGAGCTCTAAGCAATAAAACACATAATTTCGTCTATTCTGTTTTACTTATAACTGGGAAGTAAAAATAATGTTACCAACAAATTAAACCTACAGCCAGAACCCAATGGGCATATAAAACTGTTCCAAAGAAAAAAATATTTTCAGTGGCTACTTTTTTCTGGCCTGTAAACAAAAATTACTGATGTCTGCCATATGAGACATATTACCTCCTGATGAAAATATCATCAGAAAATTGCCTGATAGTGACAAAAATGCATAAAAAATATTTTTTATACTTAATGCAATTGCTTTCTTTTCAGTCTTCATCGGACTCGAGTTCTGAAACCGAAGCAGTTGAAAAAGAAATAGCACCCATTGTGAGAAACAGATGTCATAAAGCCAAACAAAAGGATTCTGAATATATTGTAACTCCAGATAATTATTTCATGATGAACTCAAGCAAAAAGGTAAATTAGCTAAATATAGTTTTTAATTTACATTTATAACAGTTTGTTTATACTCGAATGGTTACTATTATATTTTTCAGATAACAACATCAGACCATACATTAGCAAGGTTAAAAAATATGAATTTAAATGAAAATCTTAAGGAAATGGATGCTCACATATCAAAGGAACACCAAAACCGAATTACAGATTTGTTACATGGCTATAATGAATTATTTGACAAATGGCTTTATGTTCTTGGTGAAAATTTCAACATAATTCTCTATGGTATAGGATCCAAGCGTGAAGTTTTGCATAGATTTCAAATAGAAAAACTAAAAAATGTACCATGTATCATCATAAATGGATTCTTTCCAAGTCTCATGATAAAGAATGTTTTAGAGGCAATAGTGGTTGATTTATTGGGTAATTCGCATGTACCATCAAATTTAAGTGATGTTGTTAATTTCATTGATAGCCAATTGAAAGAGCGTGAGACTGACTTATTCCTAATAATACACAATATAGATGGTACAATGCTAAGAAATAGCAAAGCTCAGTCAACATTGGCCAGCATTTCTGAGTTAAAAAATGTCCATACTATAGCAACAATTGACCACATTAATGCACCACTGTGTGAGTATGGTTACTTTTATATTAAAGCACTTTAATATTTAAATGAGCATTGTAGGTCCAGTGGTTAAGCAAGTAACTCTCAAGCCTAAGGCCATGTGTGAACACCAGTTGTGCATCACGCACAAAAAACACTGGCTTGTTTAATAAAGAACATCCTAGACACTGATTTAAAAAAAATTAAAAGCTATGAATGATATGGTTTAATTTAATCCAAGTCTGTCAAAATAAAACCTCAAGTAGCTATGGAAGGTGCAAACAAGTAACTGCGTTTCACAGATGTGTAATAATATAATAATGCTCTACAATCTTTACATTCTGGTTTTTGTTGGTTCTGCTAATATCATGTTGATTGCACTCTAATAGATTTCAGTTATCAATTTATTTCACAGTATGGGACCATTCAAAGTTAAGTAAATACAAATTCAGTTGGTGGGACATAACAACTTTCCTCCCTTATACAGAGGAGACATCATTTGAAAATTCTCTCATGACTCAAAGAAGTGGAGCTTTACAATTATCTTCATTGAAAAGCGTCTATCAGTCCCTTACCACTAATGCCAGAGGAATTTTTAATATTATTATACAATATCAACTTGAAAATCAGAAACAAAATTATCAAGGTTAGAATTACATTTAATGTTTTCCTACATACATATATTTATTCGCATTGGAATGCGTATTTAAATGTTCATCTAATTACAAACATTTATATAATAAACATGTCCTTGTTCTACAAAAATAGTTTTTTTTAGGATTACCATTCAAGGATCTATACTCTAAATCCCGGGAGCAATTCCTGGTAAGTTCTGAACTTGCACTGAGAGCTCAGCTTACTGAATTTCTGGACCACAAACTAGTCAAATTCAAGAGAACTTTAGATGGCAGTGAAAATCTTGTGATTCCTATTGAAAGTGTACTCTTGCAACAGTTTTTGGAACAACAGAGTACATGATTTGTGTTAATAAGACTTATTTTACTTTAAATAAAACAAAAAATATTGTTTTCACCTTTTATTTTACAATCCCAGAAATAAAGTCTTAATAGGATTATATAATATATATCAACAGGCCAAGTTGTAAATTACTTAAACTTAATGACTTACATAATACAATAAAGTTATTAACTAAAATTCTCTTCAACACATCTGGCACGATGACGCATCAACCAAACATTTCATAAATTATCATTGATATTAATACTTAAGTGCATAAAATTGCTCTTTAATATTTAAAAAATAGTGTAGAAAAATATGCTCTGAACTCATCAGATGATCGACAATTTGGTCTAAATATTTGATTTATTTACTACGCCCGTTTGAATTTCTATATTTAATTGATGAGCATCTGTTATCTTAAGTGAGATTACTGACAAAACCCATCTTGTTCACATGGTTTTCTCTTTATAAATATACAGGTTTTGCATTCAAGTATTTCGCCTTTATATTTGTACAATAAATCTATTAATACAAAGGTAAAAAAACTTATTTTTTTTACTCTTGCCAATGAATCTATTTAATTGACAAATATTTTTTTGTTATCAATTTATGAGAGATTTTTTATTGCATTATAAATAAACATATTTTCTTTATATCTTCTTTTTACAATAGAAAGAGTCGATATATTATTTTTAAAGAAATAAATATTTTTTCAAAATTATTTAAGGACAGACAGGCGGAAAACTCCCGAATTTAGTCACAAAAGGAACGAGGGCACTATTTAAAGTCTCGCATTTATATACTCAAGTATCTCTTCACTTAATAATTAATTATCATAACATTATATGGTAGTTTGAATATCATCCTAAAATGCACATCCATTCATTATTCTAAAATTAAGCATGTCAAGAATAAAAAAATACAATAAACAAATTGGAACATTAACTTGTCGGACAACAAACACTAAAAGGTACAACAGCCCCAAAATGGTGATAAAATATTCACATAAACTGGCTCATAGCTTCGGTAACAAGACAATGTGAGCGCGCCTTGGAATGACAACACTGTACCTGGCTCACTTTCTAACCCGAACACGGTCAATATATTGCTGAGATTTGAAAGAATAACACGATCATAATCTAGTATTTATCAAGTGTCCCTTATACCATTGGTGATATTCCATTTTACCTACGAAATTACAGTAAGATGATACATACGGTTCAAATAGACCAAAGTCAATCAAAATATTGTAAGTAGCCTAATAAAGTCTCAGCAGGTTTAGTTGCTGTAATATTTGAAAGACTTTAGACTATTTGAACATGCCAGTTTATGCATTCTTGTAAAGGAGATAATAGGTTCAGGGCTTTCAATAAGCAGTAACTTGTTTAATTTTATCTTTCTTTCTATAACAAGATGAATAAAATATAAAGTTTAGCGAGATGAGTGTCATGTGTGTGCATTAACGTATAGTAAGTTATGTGAAAGCGGTCAGTTATTTGTGCAAACAAAACTTGCCACAAAATCTGATTTTTCTATAAATTACATGGCAAACAGTTACGATTTATAAAAACAGCATTCAAAAGCACCTGAACGCATTAAATATGGGCGCATTTGTGCATTCGAAAAATAAAACTAATACATAATTTTATCGTAAATTTTATATAATAGTGCCATAAATTAAACATAATGAAGAATATTACAAAATTTCTTGTACTTTATGGGATGAAGGTAAGGGGAAATACATAAGGGCAATCTTATCGTCCGCGGTCGGATAGCGTCAAGGTTTATTGTCCGATGTCTCGGAGCTCTGTACACTTACGAACTAGTAAGATGACTCCGCGTAAGGCAACCACGATCAATTCTCGTCTTCGTCTTCGTGTTTTCGTTTTTTGCCCCGAGTACTTTCCTCGGGCTCGCCGTGAGAGTTCTCCTTTCCGGCTGTAAAATTTAAATAAATTATGTTATGAAATATGGACATAGATTTTTCAGTCTCTTTATAAGCTAATTCGACATTAGAGAATGTGAACAGAAAAATTTAAATTAATTTATGTTTTAATAAAAATGTTAAAGTGCTTTTAACACACTACCGCTATATAGTGTAAACATAAACCTTAAGCAATATGAACTATGTTCATAATCATAAGATACTATGAAAAGGTACAAATCAGTGCTTTAGATGTATCAATGTAAAAAACGGATTTAAAATATATGTTTAATTGTTATAATAAAATGTAGCCATAAAACAAATCTTAGGTTATTTTTTTCTGAATTTGGTCAAATTTTAAAGATACTTTTATGTAAATAACTCGAAATCTTGAAACCCATTTTAATTGTTTTTTTTAATTTTGGCCTATTTCAAGTTTGTTTCTATTTCAATAATAATTTTATTTAAATTTATGAAGACTAGAGCAAGAAAAGAAGGGATTTTATTAAAAAATTGAAAGAATGCATACCTTGTGCTTTGGAGTTTGGTTTGTCGTCATCATTATCTCCATCACCATCTTCGTCATCTTCTTCTTCAACCTCCTCCTCTTCTGCACTGCCTTCGTACAGGGAGCCCTCTGAACTCTCTTCCTCTGAAATATATAACAATATTTTGGCAGTTGGGCGATGATTCTGTATGATCTTTAACAAGAATGATATTAAACCAGCTCTTGTCCAGATACAATGTTTTTAGTGTTTGAGACATAGATCTGAACATTATATTATGATTTGAGATATCTTGAAAAGATTTAATATACCCATACCTTATTCCAATAAGACATCACTAAATATCAGATTATACTATGATTATTAGGTATCTCTCATATGCAATCAGGTGTCAGATATTCTATCCACCAACAGAGATGATAAAAGATGCAGGAGATAGATAGGATAATAGTGACAAAACATCTAGTTCCTAATTCTGAGGCTTTGCAGAAGTTTGCAGCTTTTTCGGATCATGACTATTAGTGGCGTGATCAGCGATGACGATAATATGTGTGAAATGAAATCTATCTAGTGCACACTGTTTCTAACATTCTTATTTATACATTTCCTGATAAGTGTAGTAAAAATAATATTACCTAATTTAGTATTATAGACAGCACTTAGTGAAAGATCATCATCTTCTTCATCATCAACATCTGAATCTGAAACAAGAAACATTCTTATTTTCATAAAATGTAAATGGATTTAATCTATTTAATGAATTTATCACCACTATATAGGAGATTTTGTGTAATGTATTTAATGCTTATGTTATAAGTTTTGCACTTCTTGCTTTATCCTATAGACTAACTATTTTTTCCAGACTTGGGTTGCCTGGTAGAGAAATAATGTTAGTGACGAGGCTGCCTGTACCCATTAAACAATAACAACAGGAAAATAAGTAGCCACCACAATATATTAATAAAATACACAATTCAGGATTAAATATGCCATTATAACAATTTTTTAACTATCTTTGGTTGACTATGCTTGTTAAAAACAAGTAACTGCGATATTTTGTTGTTTTTAAAATAACTTTTAAACAGATTTTGTTAGTGTAATTTAAAATATAATATAATAGAATAGAAGCTTGTAGTGCTTGGGTTGGTCAGCAAATATATAATTTCTAAATTTCTAGGGATGTCTTCTAAAAAATACCTACAAATCGTAAGCTTCCCTATAAGAGGTTTCCACATAGGAGCTTTGACAGCTTTTCATATAAACAACTAAGGTCAGTTTGGCAATGATGCTTACTTTTTAATAGATTGCCCATATGGAACAGAAGACCATAAACAGTGTATAGCGAGACAAGGAAAGATGACGTCATTTCTGGCGTTCTCTCTGAATAATCATCATCTATAATGAGTGGACCCAGGTCAATGCCAAGATCTGTAATATTATAAATGCGTTTGTCTTTCAGGTCTTAATGGACCAACTATTCAAGGAAATTTAGAATAAAAAATGGAAAATGCAATAGAAACCTATCAGAATTTTGTAAAGTAAGTAAAATACATAGTTACTACAGAGTAGTAACGCGAGAGGTATGGTAAAACTTAGTTTAAACTTAAGTATACAACAATTATTATTATGTTAAGTACACAACAAAATCTAATTGGCTTCTCAATTTAAGATATTATTATTTAGAAACAGATTTCACTGCATGAAGAATTGAATAGTGAATTTTAAACATATTTTGACAAAGAATCAATAGAAGAACTTTGGTATTACAAATTCTGTCGGTCTAAGGAAGTTAGCGCAGATATTTCAATGACAGAAAGCAGCTGACGACTGGAAGCTATTGCCGTCGCATCAAATGGCTTGTGCGAGTTGATAATACACCTCTAACAATTTGACATTGAGTTATAAAAATATATCCCCTTAAGCGCTATCCACACATTTCCGGGTCAGGGCTATCCGAGTTCCGAGTTGTCCGTTTCAGTGTTCCCGTCAGGGACGTGCCATCAGTCACCCGTGTTCACACATATCAGAGAAATCGGTATCAGTGTAATCAGTTTCTTTCTGATACGCACACTTCACGATGTCTTTGTTTAACCAAGAAGAGTTAGCAATGATTGCAATAGCGCTAGATGAAGAAGAAGCAGACGACCAAGAAGACCATCAGCAGGCAATAAAACGTATTTGGGTATGTGAGCTGTGGGAAGATAGAGAAACTGCAGGAGAATATCACACATTATGCCAGAAACTCATGAGACACCCTAAATATTATTATGATTACTTCAAAATGCCAGAATCTACTTTTCACTTGCTACTACAAAAGCTACAAGATGGTTTGAGAAAAAAAGATACTGGAGACAATCTATATCGCCAATGGAAAGACTCGCTGTTACGTTAAGGTAAGTGTAAAAATTAAATAATTTTATTTTAAATGTATTTATTTTTAGTTACTTATCAAAGGGGTTTTACCTATCAAATTATATTTAAAAAGTGTATGTAATTACTTAATTAGGATTGAAATTCGGAAATGTACTGTGCTAAGGTGGAGACATCTTCATGTACATTTTTGTTTTCTGTATCCTTAGAAGAATTTTGATTATTTGTAGGATTCAGAATACTCTCGGATAAAGTTTCAAGTTTCAGTCTCTGCTGATTCTCCTTGCATACTCGTTGGGGCACTTGTAGATATAGATGGACTTGGAAACATTATTTGTACATCATTTTTAACATTTTGTACTTCCATATGTCGCTCAAACATGTTTTTTTCATACTTTTGTACAGTATTAAATATGTCACTCTTAGCTAAGTTTTGGTAATACGGTGTAAGATTTTTAAGAGTGGGAGCAATACCATGCAGAAACTTGTCAATGGGATGTTCCTCTGTAGTGTTATTCTGATTTTTCTTTAAGACATACTCCAACAAAGTAGCAGCAGCAGACTTTGGTTTGTCAGTTGTTTCCTGAGCAGATGCAAGAGAACTTGAAGATGCTGCTGGTGAAAGTGATCCTGTTTGATGGGATGTATGAACTGGCAATGGAATAGATATTATCACATCTTCGTCACTCAAAACTGATGGAGACTGTGCAGAGTGTGGAGAACCACTGTTTAAACCCGTATCTAATGTACTGTCTTCACTTTGAGCACTTATATTGCTAATTGTTTCTCTTTCTTGAAAATACGGCCGAAGAAATGACAACTGCTCGTGATATTTATAATGTTTTTGTGATTCACGTCTTTGGCCACTTTTCGTTTCTGTATTCTTTATGGATTTACGGTATTGATCCCGAATATTATTCCACCGCGATTTACACACCGTTGCTGGAAAGATAATAAAACAGATAATTTAACATTTTTGTTTATTACAGATTCCCAACAGGAGATTCATTTAAAACAATTGCGTTCAGCTATCGAATGGGGTTTAGTACTGTGCAAGAAATTGTAACGAAAACTTGTAAATGTATAGTTGACACAATGATGAGTGAAATGCTACCTAGGCCAACATATGAGACGTGGAAATCAATAGCGGACGACTTCAATACACTTTGGAATTTTCCAAATCGCATCGGAGCTCTTGATGGAAAACATTTTAACATCCAGTCACCGCCTAACAGTGGATCACTATACTTCAACTATAAAAAAACATTCTCAGTTGTGCTTATGGCTTTAGTTGATGCCAATTATAATTTTACAATTGTCAATGTTGGTTCTTATGGAAAGAATAGTGATGGAGGAATTTTTGCTAACTCTAATCTGGGAAAAGAACTTCAAAGAAAAAACTTGTCTTTGCCTGAAGTTTCGATCTACCAGGCAGTTCAACAACAGCTCTTTATGTTCTTGTAGGAGATGAAGCTTTCCCTCTCAAAACTTATTTAATGCGACCGTATCCAGGGACCAATTTGAGCACCGATAAGCGAATTTTCAACTATCGTTTATCTCGTGCAAGGAGGGTAGTGGAAAACACATTTGGACAGTTGACATCAAAATTCCGAATTTATAATAGACGCATTCATGCTTTACCAAAAAATTTTGATAATATAATACTTTCTACGTGTATCCTTCATAATTTTATTAAAAAATATGACAAAGAAACAAATTTGTTTGCAGAAGTTGCAAGCACAAACGAAACTCTTGCAGCATACGACGATTTACCAGCTGTCGGTTTAAATGCTTCAAGAGAGGCTTTTTATGTAAGGGATACGTTCAAATCTTATTTTATTTCTCCAGCTGGCGCACTGCCTTGGCAAAACAATAGAATTTAAGTTGTTGTCCCTCAATAAAAGTGGAAAAAAAACAACTATTTCATACAAAGTTGTAAATAACGGATCAAAATTTATTTATTATTTACTTAACACACTGGCAGCTTTTAATAAGCTGATGCGCGTGTATTATGGGATTTGGAGAAACTTATCCAGTCTATTTTTAAAGGTGTTCACAGATGGTGCACCGAACACTTTTTCCACAAAATGTATGAAATAGCTGTTTTTTTTTTTCGGGAGCCCCTGAAATAAACAATAAGAACCTACATAAATGTCTACAGAATACAAAACATATAATAAAAATGTTTAAAACCTACCTTCACACTTTAATTCTTTTCCTATATTAGTATCCCATATGATATTTTTCTTCTTAGAATTCAAATAATGTGGATTAGAAAGATCGTAAAGTATAGCATTCTGCCGTACAAGTTCTATCAACCTTTCTGTGTTCATGTTGCACTTGCAGATAAATCGTCAACTTTAACAAAAATCGGATAGCACTGTCAGAGCGTCCGTGCGACCGAGCGTGCTCCGGGACACTGACGCCTGACGCGGAGCTGTGTGAACAAGTTCATACAATTTGTACGTAACCGATTTTTTCCCAGTCCCTGACGGAACACGGCCGGGACGAGTTCCCGGAAATGTGTGGATAGCGCTTTATTCATTAAAAATAAAGCAGTCTCATTGCACCTTTTACTAAAGTAATAATCTGTCTCTTTCCGTCAGCGTAAACACAATTTTACAGAAGAGACATGAAAGAATACCTTAATTATAAAAATGTAATTAGATGTATGCATTTTTTATAAATAATCTCCCCCCTTATTTATACCATACAAACAAAGTACAGTTAGAAACTAAGTTATGTAACTGAATTGTATATCATGCAATAGGAAAAAGAAATGGTATCCAGAGTTGGTCAATGTAGCATCTCAATGTCTTAAACCTGGATAACCTGGGTTCAAATATGAGAGCATTAACTGCTATTGGTAGGCTAAGAAGTATTAATCAAAATATTCTATAAATACCTTCTTCGCTGTCATTGTTGCCATTCATTTCATCTTCATCTTCTCCACTGCTATCCTCTGCCTCTCCGTCTTCTTTGTCAAATCTGAAATTTTATTTTTATAATTATTAAATTGCCAAACTTAGAATATATAATCTATTGCAATCAGACTAAATAAATAGTCCAAGTCAGTTACATTAAATGATTGAGTATGTTTTATTCCAATTAATATGGCCTTTATGTTCTTAAAATTATATAGCCACAAAATACCTCCCAATTACAATATGAAATTCAAACAGTTCTGTTAAGAATTTATCTTACCCATCTAAGTATTTCAGGGATGGATGCAAAGCAAACACTTTGTTCCTGTAGTCTTCAATATTAGTCACCTCATTGTTAAATAGATCAAGATTCTTTAAGTTCTCAAACTCCTCTAGTGGTTTCAATGTTTCTAGCTTTGCAATTTTGTTCCCAGAAAGGTTAAGATGTGTAAGTTTTTTGCAGCCATTTAAAAAGTTTAGCCCATTAGATATTCTGTTGTCAGAAAGTTCAAGTTTCCTGAGTTTGGGAAGTGTGGGGAAGCCCTTTAGTGTTGTGAGACCAGCATTGTTAAGACTGAGAATCTCCAAATTTATATATTCATCTGTGAGGCCCACTATTGTTGTGCTTCTACAGTTGTCCAAGTTTAATTCTTTGATCTGTAAAAATAGTAAATGTTAAAGCATTATGTACTTCCCAGTGCTTGTGTATTATAACATAGAGATTATATTAGGCCTGATTATTACTGTTTACTTGATATTTTTTTACAATTAGACAGATATTGGATATCTTAATTTGTTTTATAAAAATTCCTGAAACATTTAAATAAAATATATTAAATCTACATAATATTGTCTGTAGCATAACAGAATCTATGTCATATCAGTTATACCCACATACAAGTTAGGTACATAATAAATGTATACATATATTATAAGTCATTATTTAAATCTGACCTATAATGAAACATTGAAATGTATTTAAAAATTAAATATTTTTTTTTAGAAACATTAGCCAAGCTAAAACTACAGAAGTCGACAAATCGCAAAAAATAAGCAGTGTTACTGGCCTGTAAGAAAATCAACAGCAGTACGCTAGACGTCAAAATGGTGCAAGTTGTCAGGCTTTTCTTTCTGTCGTAGTTTCAAAAATACGAAAAATAAGTGTATGGAATAAGTAATTTTATGTATTTACATACAAACAATGTGTTTTTGCTTTAAAATTTAACAAAAGTAAAGCTTTTCGTGATGTACTTAGTTGAAATAACAATTTTTTCATTTCGAAATGGCGGATGACACGAATCGTCGCGACGCAATAAATATGGCCGCTGAAATGGTAAGGCGTGCGACATAAAGATGAAACTTGTAAATATCTACACATACACAATTTCAAAAGTAAAAATCTCCTATTTATTAGTATAAAATAAATAACAGTATCCTAATAATAATAATATTCTATTTTGAAAAGATGCTAATAGGATAGTCAAGTGAAAGGGCGCGAAATTATGTCGAATGACGACAAACGGGTCGCAATTTAAGGTGCTAAGAAATAAAAATTTCACCAATTTGTAAGACATCTATATTATATTAATTTCTAGGACTTTTTCGGTGTTTATGCATTAATTATATTGCATTCAGATTAACAATACTTAATGATTATTAATAGCGCCTATAACGATATAAATATAATGAAGATGTCAAACCGATTTTCAGTGTTTAATTTTCATTATTAATTTTGAGAACATTAAATCTTTGTATTAAACACTAAGTAAAAGACTAGATAATTGTAATATTAATGTAACATCATCTAAATGTATTACATATAGGAAATATTACACTCTTCACGTTTGGATACAGTGTATTATCACTTAACCTCAAATAACCAATAGATAGAACGCAGAATAAATAATTAACTTTAAATATCTAATAAAAGTGCAATAAATGAATTTAATAGTTAGATTGGGTAGTAATATCGAATATTAACAATACATTTTCGATAAATTGTAACGTGGATACGAGTGGACGTAACACAGCAACACGGCTCGCTATAAACAAGAACGCCACATCTTATAGGTGAAATTTAAGTACATCGTATATTTATTGGTTTTGATTATAATAAACGTAATTATTGGGGATAGGCAAAGTTTGTTACGACAATATACGTGATAAAGGAAATATGTATCGACAAAACATTCCAATAAAAAGATGCATAGATTTCATTTACCTGCGACGGATTCCTTCCGCGTAGTTCCAGAGCGATTCTTTTTTCCATCGTGTTGGTTTATCGAAATTATCACCAGAAACACTATTTAAACTTATTCAGGGCACAAGAACAAATTCCCGAAGCTTGCTTGGGTTTCAAAACAGAAGGAACCTAAAGATACACACTCGAATGACGTTAAATAGCAAGCGCCGCCTAGCGGTGATTTTTGTGGACCGGATAGTATCATTTGACATACTTAATTTTTAAATTGCGTTATATATTTGTTAGAGAATTATGGCATAAACTTATAAATAATTAATATATTTTATTGTTATTTTCAGGTTTATTTACGTGACACTTAATCACAAATCTTTGATATTTCGTCTAAATGAGGACTACGTTTAAATACAGATAAAGTTACGTTGGCAGTATTGGACGCACTTGAATGTTGGCAGTATACGAAAAGGCGGGCTTTTCAAAATATCGCTGTAAAATTTTGCTTCATTGAATCCTTTCTCGGTAAACTTTTTTTTATAAAAACACTATGTAATGTATATAATTAATGACAATGTACAATAAACAGTTGAAAAAAACCATAAATTGTTTAAAATTACATATTATATATTATATGTCATCCAAATGCTAAATGTGGTGAAATTAATTATTCTATTAATAGCGATTAATGTTTCTGATTATTATCTTAAAATTTAAGTTATTTCTAACATCTAATAACTCATAATATTAAAAAAATAGGTTGTAAATGCCAGAAAATATAATTTTAATATTTTCGTTTTTAATAGAACAGAATATTGCAATGGCAACTAGGTACTATTTTTTGTTACTATACTATACTATCTCTTAATGTTTTAAACCATACTTTATCTTAATAAAAAAGAGTCATAATTTTACCCTAACATGAGCATTTGTAACAGTCATTAAGGGTAAGAATCTTATAATTTTTAAATCGTAAACTTGGATTCTTTGTGGTTAACTTAGCTAACGCACACTGAGGGTGAGATCTATAGTGCGCACTTGGACTTTGCTCAGACTTACCTTACGAAAAACTTTGCTTAGTGTACACTAAGGTTAAACTATGATTTCGTATTTATAGACATTTTAACGGTGAGATTAAGCTAAGCCCAAGCTAAGACAGAAAATGTCAAAATACAAATTGATGTTTCATTTCATGCAATACTTTGTTTATTATCCTTTAAAAAAGTTAACAATAACAAATATTTAAAAATCTAAAACGGTACACATATATCTTCAATTTATTGTTATTTATGTATTCATTTATTTTATTATTGCAATAACTAGAAATTCACGAGTAACCTTTAGAAAATGTATTAATTATTTAAAGATGACAATAATTTTATTACGTAGAACGGATCGCAATGTTTTGACAACAGCAACAGAGCACTTGTATCAACTATCAACAATTGAAAATTTTAAACCACTTTAATTTATTAAATTGATCTTTCTTTCGTTTTGTGATTTGGCTTTGTTACATGGACCGCTTGGAAATATCAATATCGAAAGTGACATGATGGAGAGAGAGAATTCTATCTTCAATAGAAAACATTGAAAGGGTAGGAACTGCAGCCGATATGAATCCACGAATGCCTAAAGTGTTGTATATGTTCGGAACTAATAAAACCAAAATCCTTCCATCCTGTACGGTGAGAATGAATTCAAAAGAAGGAACCGTATTTTGAAACACACGGTATTAAATGTGATCCTGACGCTGATCATTACAAACTTGCAACCTTATAACAACAGAGGATCGCCAAACCTACCGCAATTGCAAATACTTATTGCATTAAGGCATAAAAATGCAACTGGATGTTTTCAGGTAATATTGTGTTCATAAATATGTATGGTTTTTCAATTTGATATATTATACCTCTTCTCAAATGATTTTAAATAGTACATATGTTGAAGACTTTTGTCTTCTGACTTTCAGAAACATAACATATATGTGACTAATAATACTTTATTGACATTACAGATGGTGTGTGGTGATCTGAACAGCATAAGCCAATCTACAGTCTGTTTAATTATAAATAAAGTCTCTTCAGAGTTGAGTAAATTACTTCCTAGATTTGTAAATTTTCCAAGAAATATGAACACAGCCAAAACGAAGTTTGAAGAATTAGGAAGATCTAATACTCACCATGGCCTAAACAGTATAATCGGAGCTATTGACTGCACCCATATAAAAATTAATAGACCCAAAGGTATCGCTCACTCTGAAGCATACAGAAATAAAAAAGGGTATTTTTCTGTAAATGTGCAAGCAATAATAGGGCCTGATATGGAAATATTTGCTATAGTGACTAGGTGGCCTGGCAGTTCACACGACAGCAGGATATTTAGAAAATGCCTGTTTTAGTAGGTGACAGCGGTTATCCAGCACTTAATTATAGCTTGTGCTGTATTGCATAATATAGGTATACAGAGAGGCGATGCTTATGATGATGGTGATCTTGCTGACAGCGGAAGTTGAGTAACACAGAAACAATGAAAGATCTCCTACAGGTCTAGCATTCCGGCAATCTGTGATTGCACAATTTAACTAGGTAATTTGTTTGGTAATAAAGAATATCAAAACAAAACTTGTTTCATTTTAATCATTTATTTTCTGATTCTTTTTTTAAGTGTAATACATATTTCTAATACTAATTTATATTTTTGTTGAAGAAATTCTATTTCTAACAGATTTTTTAATTTCATATGTTCCACTCCTATCTCAAATTTTTTAGGGTAGTCAGGTAATAAATGGTAGAAGATTCAGGGAAACGAAAAAACAGATGTGAAGCGAGAGACATCGGTTAGGTTATATGTAGTTTGAATTTAGTTGTCACTATAATATGCCAGGGCTGCCAGGTGACATACAAAATCACACCAGTTATTTTTAAGATTTCTCAAAAATGGGGTTTGAACAATTACATAAATAATATAAATAAACAACAATAAATACCATAATAATGTGTAATTATTTTATTTCATGCATTTCATAGGTATTTATCAAGATCATTTATAATTTCTTTCAATTCAAATTCTATTTTTCCCAAAGTCTATGGAACTCCGATACAAAATGGCAACACCGTTCATTAAAAACCGACAAAAATAAAAAGTCCAGTAAAAGATATGATGGTAAAGCAAATTTTGGGCCATTATTTTTGTTAGGCTTATAGTCAAAGTTTTTGGTAAGTCGTCGATTTCGTGGACTTGAGATTAAGCTAAGCCAACACTAGGGAGAGATTCGCAGTTTGCTCTATAAATACCGACTGTGTCTTAGCTCGATAGTTAAGTCAGAGCAAAGTCTAAGTGCGCTCTATAGATCTCACCCTGAGTAACTTAAAAAGCGATTTGAATCGCGGGGCATCCTGAGGGTATCCGCTATCCATAGCCGAGACTAAGGGTGAGATCTATAGTGCGCACTTAGACTTTGCTCTGACTTAACTATCGAGCTAAGACACAGTCGGTATTTATAGAGCAAACTGCGAATCTCTCCCTAGTGTTGGCTTAGCTTAATCTCAAGTCCACGAAATCGACGACTTACCAAAAACTTTGACTATAAGCCTAACAAAAATAATGGCCCAAAATTTGCTTTACCATCATATCTTTTACTGGACTTTTTATTTTTGTCGGTTTTTAATGAACGGTGTTGCCATTTTGTATCGGAGTTCCATAGACTTTGGGAAAAATATAATTTGAATTCAAAGAAATTATAAATGATCTTGATAAATACCTATGAAATGCATGAAATAAAATAATTACACATTATTATGGTATTTATTGTTGTTTATTTATATTATTTATGTAATTGTTCAAACCCCATTTTTGAGAAATCTTAAAAATAACTGGTGTGATTTTGTATGTCACCTGGCAGCCCTGGCATATTATAGTGACAACGAAATTCAAACTATAACCTAACCAAAACATTGCGATCCGTTCTACGTAATAAAATTATTGTCATCTTTAAATAATTAATACATTTTCTAAAGGTTACTCGTGAATTTCTAGTTATTGCAATAATAAAATAAATGAATACATAAATAACAATAAATTGAAGATATATGTGTACCGTTTTAGATTTTTAAATATTTGTTATTGTTAACTTTTTTAAAGGATAATAAACAAAGTATTGCATGAAATGAAACATCAATTTGTATTTTGACATTTTCTGTCTTAGCTTGGGCTTAGCTTAATCTCACCGTTAAAATGTCTATAAATACGAAATCATAGTTTAACCTTAGTGTACACTAAGCAAAGTTTTTCGTAAGGTAAGTCTGAGCAAAGTCCAAGTGCGCACTATAGATCTCACCCTTAGCACTAAATAGCAGTCCGGTTTGGTTCAAACTTATTGGATTTAAGGGATGCCGCAAAGCGAAACGTGCTGACTGAGAACCCGGTTGATAAATATTAAAAGGGGAGTAATGTACTAATGTAATGTAAAGTACTAATGGTCTCGTCTAGTCGAACTCCTAAGCTGTAATATAAAAAAAAATATGTCATATAAATAAGTATTTTTTATTTTCATTTAAATTAGATAGATGGCGCTGAAACTGAATAAGTTTCTTTTAGCTTACCGATTTCTGCATTCATTTTTAATTTTTATTCTTTCCCATGTTTTATATTAAGCAAATCAAGCGTAGTAAAACGAACAAATATAAAAGCAAGATGTATGAGTAAATTTTACCTCGGTAACCCTCGTAGAATTTTATATTAACAAGAAACTTCACGGATATTTAAAAGCTTAATAAAGCTTATGAAAAAAAATAAGGGAAAAGGGAAAATTTGAAATTCATAGATAAATTGGCACAAACTGCCTTTCGACATCTATACTGACTACCATCAATATTACGAAGGTCCTTATTATTCTTATTATTATTGAAAGTAAACAGTAGTAAGTCATTTTGAAAAAGTCGTGGTATTAATGTCAAGTCATCACGACGTAATTAATCTTGCTAATGTTATTTTCTTTTGCCTACTATTAGTGATTAGTATAAAATAGAAAACAATTATTTTTAATATGTATTGTTCGATGTTTTTAAAAAGAAATATTTTACGTTTCGTTCGTAATTTACTGTGCTTCGTAATTACATTATTTCTAATAATTATTTATTTGGAACAACGTTATCACAAGACTTCATTGTTGGTTGAAATTCCTGAATCAGCATATAAATTCATTTCATTTGAACAAAGAGGAACTCAGCATTTGGACATAACAACTTTGAAAAGATTAATTAAAAGCTATAATGAGGCGGAAAGGATTCATAACAACATAGATTTTGGGCCTGGTTTAAACGACTCTACTGTTATTGTAATATTTGTCCACAAAATTTCGGTGCATTTAAAATATCTGATCGCTTCTTTAAGTAATATACAAGGAATTCAAGATGTTTTAGTGATTTTCTCACATGCCTTCTATGACATTAATATAAATAAATTGATAGAACAAATTGATTTTTGTCGTGTATTGCAAATATTTTATCCCTATTCGATTCAACTGTATCCTAACGTATTCCCTGGGAATGACGAGCAGCAAAGACGGAGCAGAAGCGTTCGTCGCGCTTGTTTAGGTTCTTGTATTGATAGAAACTCACAAAAAGCTGAAAAGAAGCATCACTGGTGGTGGACCGCGAATATGGTATTTGAAAATCTCTCTTCAGTTGATGTGACTAATGGCAATATTGTATTTTTTTTGAACGAAGATCAATATTTACTTGAAGATTTTTTATACATGGTTATTTATATGAAAAAAGCGGCTAAGTCTATGCCGCAGTGCGAAATGATCTCGTTAGGAACAATTGGTTCAAATAATATCGCTGTTGGAAGGGACACATATCGCTTGGAATTAACTACCTGGAACCCGAAATATCATTCGGATGTTTTAGGTTTTGATTTGTCTACTTGGAATACTATCGTCTCACATTTCGATCTATTCTGCCTAATAGACGATTACTCTTGGGCCAGATCCCTACAGTACATTTCCTTAAATCGGCTAGAGGGTAACAAATTTAAAGTAATTTCAAGTAAAGTACCGAGATCTTTTACGACGAATTGTGGTGCATACGACCTGACAAATTGTGGTGAGTTTGAAGGGATTTATAAAGCTTTACATATACAAAAGCTAACGAGAAGTAATATGTTTCCGCCACTTTTTGAAATTAAAAATAACGTTGAATTGATTGATGACATTGATAATACTGTAACGGAAAGTAATGGTGGTTGGAACGATATCCGTGATAGGGAGTTTTGTAGTAACATGACAATATCAAAAGTCAAAAAACTACTTTTAGATATGAAAACACAGTTTATGTAAAGATTAAAAAAATATCTTGCCGATTACAGCAATATTTATTTCTCTCACGTTTTCAACTGATATATAATCTGTTTATTGTATTGTTTTATTTATTATTATTATTACTTGGGACACCTCCACACGCTAAATAGAAAAAACTGTTCCCACTGTAATATAGAGATTATTCAATTCTGACATATAAGAGATGCATGCAAATTATTAGATCCTATGTGAGTACGATCAAATAGGTTATATTAAGTACTGTCCCAATTACCTAAGACAAAGCACGTCGGGTGTACGTGGCTAGAGTACCTTAGCGTAGGAGCGGTTTGATTGAAGAAGGTGCGGGGGAGAAGAGGCTTCCACGCGTAGAGGCGCGCGCACCCTCGGCCCGGCCACGAGCAACAGTCTGCTCGTGTGAGCCATCGCTCGCGATTCGGCCTAAAACCTCCGAAAATGACAAACGGTAAGTCACCATATTACCTTAACGCGATGTATAAACATTAAAATTATAAATGGTAATTAAAATATTTTGTAAAATTTCTAAATTATTCATTGATGTCATGTGATGATTTTATAATTCGCATCCTTTGTTCGTTTTGATAAATATTGAGAGTCAAATATTTTACGTGTTTCATAGTTTCATTCAAATGATTTCTATTAACAAACGTTACAAATTAATACTTTAACGTTTAGAATTTATAATGGTTAAAATATATAACAATTGTTTTTATACAGTACAAGGGACCATTACATATGTTCTTACTAACCGATTTTAAATCGTAGAATTTAAATACATATTGAAATTCCCTTTATGTCACTAGATTAGTCGGTTTCGTTTCCTATACCTAGACAAGAGATTATCGAAATATCAAACAAATATGTCATCATGAATATCTATGGTTTATTCCTATGTACATTTACTACGGCGCATTATATATAAAGTAAACTAATGGGTTACCAGATACGAAAGGTATCGTTTTCGAAGCCATAAATATAGTATTTATTTGAAATATTCTGTCAATATCGTGTCTGCTACACTCAAGGATAATGTATTATTAAATTATGATTTGTATAATCGGAAACAACGTTTCAATCTTGGAACACAAACAGTATGTGTCTTATAATCTCAGACAGTATCAATGGAGATAAATATTAAATATAATCAGGATTGGTAATTTATATTCTTTTAATGTATTAGAGTTTTAATCTCATTAATATAAGTAGTGCACTTTGTTAGTTAAAGTGGTGAAGGTGTAAATATTTTTAAAAATATCTGACGGTTTTATATACGCCATAAATAAAATGTCTATAGTTTTATTATAAAAATATATATTTATTAATTATCGTGTTTTATATAGAATTTGTAAACAAATAAATAAGGTTTAAGTTTGGGATTATTAATGCAAAAACTAATAACATTTTATGTTACATAAAAAAATCTTAGCTTTGCCAACGAACTCATAATTTCGTTTTATGAACTACAACTCGCTTGTAGTCTATTAATTTGGACATTCCGCACATACTTAATGCGTGATTATTTTATCCAACATAATTTAGATATTTTGGTAGGTAATGTTAGGATCGCAAATGTCTTTAACACTATAGATAATGTCTTGTGTTACTCAATTTTAAAACTATTAATTTCAAATGAATGTGTAATTAAAAAGAACAAATCATTAATATTAAAATAAATACCTAAATTTTAGTAAAACAATCTAGTAATTACTTTTAGGATCCGGTAAAATATTAATTCCTGTAGGTTTAACCATAAGTCTGATAAAGGAATTCAATTTAAATAAATATATTATTTTCATATTGAATAAATGTAGACTAACTAGTGTCAATTGAAAGAAAACCCTTGCAAGAAAATTGGTCTATTATCAAGCCAAATTACCGCTTAGCGCCCTAATTAGCCACCTCTCAGCGGAAGCTTTTGGGTTTTATTAATTAAAGGGGTTCATTTAAGTTTAAGATTATGTGTGAACAATTAAAAGCAAACTTCCGTGCTGCTTAAGACCAAAACACGCCAGATTTTAAACTTTTCATAATATAGCATTAATGTCGTTACTAAATATATGTATTTTTTTTCCAAAATGGAGCACGACCAAGACATATTTTTGACCAATTCCAATCAAATCCTGAACCTGGGAATCGCATTGAAGCATTTTGCCGCTAAGGCACCGAAAATGCTCTAGATTCGCTAGGAGATATAAGAATTTATAAACAAAGACATTCTTCAGAGAATCGAGAAGTGCTTACCCTGATACTTTAATAAATAGTATTGTATACCAAGTGACAGTTAAAGTTATAACGCCTTCGGATAGTGTGTGGTATAAAACGAAGATTTATCATACAAACATTTTACGTACATCTCTCTTCAATCGGCAGCTCATGTCTGAGGGTCGTGGTCAGCAAGAAAGCATCTGGAACGGACTATCTGTTTCCACCGGTTCCGTCCAGCGCCTCAGTGTATAGTTTGGAGAATGACTTGCCTTCTGTGTTACCAACCACGATCAGTTTCTCCAAGCTCTCATTCCTCTTTTATTCCAGATTTTTCCTAATCTTGTCATGGCATCTTTAGCCATGCCGATTCGCTTTTTTATATCGACGTACATAACGATACGTATTTTGTCCTGATCTTGGTAGAGTGCGAGCAGTGTTGGCCTAGTGGCTTGAGCGGGCAACTTTTATCCCTAAGACCTCACCTTCGAACAGCTGTGCACCGATTCTCTATTTACGCATTAAACACTCGCACGTACGGTGAAGGAAATCACTGTGAGGAAACTTACTGATTTGTATTGCTTATTAAAAAAACGTAATGAATCAACTCCACTTTCAATATTTATATAATTAAAAGTGAAGCTAATAGAAACGCGATAAAGGTTCGCTACGAATTAAATAAAAGTTGATAGATTCGGTCGGATATTCTGAAAGGTCCCTTAGGCCTAAATACGTATTCGCTTAATATTCTTTTTAAGCAAAAGCTCGCTTTCGACGATGAGATTTGGATCCACTCTGTACTAAATATTTTAGTGGATTCGGCTATACTGAATACTCTTAAAACCTCGTCTTCACGTAGGTATCTGAATATGTATGAATTTTATTACGTAACATCTTATTGCTACGGGCAAGACTTGGTACTTGAAAATCCTGTATAAAAGAATTCTTGACGTTTTTATTACAGTACTAAACCTCTGATTTATTGGGTGTTTATGTAGTCTATAGTATAGGTTTTGGATACATAGGTCTTGGAGAAGGACTTTAGTAACTCATGTTTATACATCAACGAAGTCGAAGCTAATGCTTAACTAATAATAGTAGTACGAGTAGTAATTATATCATGGCCACACTCATTTGTACTACAGACAATACCCATATACAATTGGTTTCATATAATATTTTCTTCTGAGATTGTACATTTGTACTTTTAAAAAAGCATTACTTGGTATATGATGTCCCTTTTTAATTTGTTGCAACTGTAGTATATTTTGTGGTATTACAATTGGTTTATTAAGAGACACCTTATTATTATTAAACCTTGGAGATGAATAGCAATTTTATGATCGTAATTCATATTATAGTTGACGCAACTAAAAACACTGTTTGTTGTGTTTGTTTGTTTAAAAAACTGTAAACACTGTTTGCTTTGTTAAACCATAGACAGTTTACTTTAATTGGCTATGGAACGAAGGACAGGGCGTAAAAAGCGAGGATTCCGACGGGAATATAACACTATAGTTTTTTTCTATCCTGATATAAAACTGCTCCGAATTTAAACAATTAAGAATTAATTAAAAATGTCGTAATACGCGCTTAATTCGTTGTGTATTATGTGTGATTCTCACATAAATATATAGCGTAAATTTTGAGATAAGCTTCTCGCTGTCTGTACTATGTATTAAGATTTTAAACTATGCAACTGATTTTACTGCAATTAGATGTTTACCATTGTAGACATTGAAACAAAGGAAGACTTTAATATAAAGCTACATTACCCTTGACACACTCACTTACTGATTTAGCTGAACATTTCTGGGTTCCTGGTGAGGTGGAGGAGATGGTCTATCATCAGGTGTATTGGTCCAAAACCGAGAATATAGGTTCACAGGTGACGGTGACGTGGGGAATTCTCGAAAACCAAGACCGTCGCACGGGTGGATTTGAGTATGTACGCGAACGAAGTCGTTCGAATTAATGAGGGTAGTACAAAAATTACTTTCGACATAGCCACAAATGTCCCAATTTGTTGTCATAAATAATATTTTAAGCACGAAATACAAACAATGCGATGTTAACTTGAGCGATTCAAGTTTGTACATTCAACTTATTATACGGAGTTCCAAATGTACCGTCATTTTTACGGTCGGTTTTTGTGTTTATTTTACAGAAACAAGTGTTAAATCCGACCCGTTAAGGCCTCATATTTACAATACATTATAAAAACATAAGTGAAGTACTATTTACTCTACGATGACAAGACATAGATCGCTAAATTGCAATTAAATTGTAATTGTTTTTTTATGTATGAGTTCTTCAGACATCTGTTGTCACGAAAACGGACTGTTTTAAACGTTAGTGGCTCACTTACAAATAAAATAATAGATACTAATTAATATCATTGTAAAGACAAAAAATTCGAAAATACTTGGCCCATTTTATAAATTCGAACAATATAATATTCTGTCTATTGATTGCAGTTTCACTAGCACATTTTACTTTAAAAGGTTTTCTATATGTTGAAGTTTTATATAGAGATTTCTGCTTCATTAAACAATCATACAAGATCAGGATCAAAATCAAATGATTAACGTAAAACCACTAGGTTTTGCTAGTAGAGTCCAGATCGTAATATAATACAAAAATATGTTTAATGTAATGCAAAGCCACACGTCAAAGTTATAGACAGTATTTGGTTTCGACTGTATCTCTTGTTTATAAATGCAATTCTAGTTCAATTTAGAACTACAAATAAAACCCGACGAATTTTCCTCTGTTAAAGAATAATAGTTATTATGATT